TGCGGGAAGAGACTGGACAAAAATCGTGCACCTATGGATGAGGACAGTGGGTGGGGAGTGAGGGCAGAGGGTGGGGTGAGAACTGGGAGGAGGGGAGTTATGGGGGGGAAAAGAGGAACAAATGTAATAATCTGAACAATAAAAATTTAATTTTTTAAAAAAAGTATACTGCAAAGCTATAATTCTGAAAACATGGTGGTCCTGGCAAAAATAACCCCAAACATATTGACCAATACTGCAAAGCTATAATTCTGAAAACACGGTGGTCCTGGCAAAAATAACCCCAAACATATTGACCAATGGAACAGAATTGAGACAAAAGGTAAAATTTAGTGAGGATGTGGAGAAAAGGGAGCCCTTGTGCAATATCATTGGGAATGTAAATTGGTATAGTATGAATGTTCCTCAAAAATTAGGAATAGAACTACCATATGATTCAGTCATCCCCTTCAGAGCATATATCCAAAAGAAATTTAAAAAAATCTTGAAGAGATATTTGCATGCCCATATTCTTTGCAGCATTATTCACAATACCCAAAATATAATAAAAGCTAAGTGTCCATCAATAGATGATTAGATAAAGAAGATATATAAATCAGTCATGAGAAAGAAGGAAATACCACCATTGGTGACCCCATGAATGGAATTTGAGGGCAGTATGCTAAGTGAAATGTCAGACAGTGAAAAACAAATATTACCTGATATTACTTATATGTGAAATCTAAAAAAGCTGTACTCATAGAAAAAGAGAATAGCATGGTGGTTATTAGGGGCAGGGCATGCATGAAAGATATTTAGGTCAAAGAGTACAAACTCCCAATTTTAAGATGGATAAGTTCTGGGGAACTAATTTACAGAATACTGATTGCAGTAAATAATATTGTATTATATACTTGAAGGTTGCTAAAACAGTATATCTTAAAAATTCTCATTACAAAAAGAAATGGTAATGATGTATGGTGATGGAAGTGTTAACTAATCCTACTGTAGTAATCATTTCACAATATATTTATGTTAAATTAGCAAATTGTACACCTTAGGTCTTCGAGTCAAAATGGCGGATTAGGTAGACACCTTGCTTTCCTTTCAGAGGACCCATGCGTGAACTTGCTCACTGACAAACTCTCACTCTAAGCTTCAGCCCTGGGGCAGTAGCTCAGAACCACCAGGGACATAAAGAAAGAGCTAAATAGTGTGGCTTTAGCGTGAAGGCTGATGGGGCAGCTCTAGCTGGGACAGAAGTGTTGACAGGTGATATTATTCCTTTGTGAGACCCTCTCCCCTCAACACACAGCAGGCAGGCAGATATCTTTGTTTCTTTGCTGAGCCATCACTCCAGTGGGCCTGCAAGTGCAGGTAGGTTCAAATCTGCATCTCCTTCAAACTCACCTCACCCTAGTAATTTCCCAAGAACCAACCCCACCCATCTCACACACAGGCCTGAAATTCTTTCAGTAGCTGGTCTTCACAAGTTCAGCTCAAACTGAAAACTTTCCTAAAATCTCTCAAAGGTTCACAACCACAAAAAAGCAATAGCTGGACTTGGCATGCCCTTTTATCACTTGCTAAGATGCCTCAAGAATATAGCAATACTGCTAGGTTCAAAATCACTATACAAATACCGATTTCTTTTTTTTAAGGGGAAATTTATTTAGAATTGTGATATCTAAAAGATAACTTTAACAATATTAGATAAATACTACCTGGAAGTTGTAAAAAAAGATGTGATAGCCCAGCTGATTTTGCTCAGTGGTTGAGCATCAACCTGTGAACCAGGAGGTCACATTTAGGTTCCTGGTCAGGGCTTGTGCCCAAGTTGTGGGCTCCTTCCCCGGGGAGGGGGGTGCTGTGGGAAGCAGCTAATCAATGATTCTCTGTTATCATTGATGTTTCAATCTCTCACTTCCTCTCTGAAATCAATAAAAGGAAAGAAATGAAAGTATACTATGAGAAAATCTCTAACATGTTACTGAAGGACATGTTATAAAGAAGACCTAAATAAATTGAAAGAATATTTTATTTTTGAATATATATACTAGAGGCCTGGTGCACAAAATTTGTGCATGGGAGGGTGTACCTCGTGCAGGAGGGTAGCCCGGCCTGCACCCTCTTTAATCCGGGACCCCTCGGGGGATGTCTGGGGATCGGGCCTAAACCGGCAGTTGTACATCCCTCTCACAATCCTGGACCACTGGCTCCTAATCGCTCACCTGCCTGCCTGCCTGGTCACCCCTAACTGCTCCCCCTGCTGGCCTGATCATCCCTCACTGCTTCTGCATGCCGGCCTGATCACCCCTAACTGCCCCCCACTGATGGCCCAGGTCACCCACAATTGCCCACGCCCTGCCAGCCTGGTCACTCCTAACTGCCCTCCCACCGGCCTGGTCACCCCTTACT